CATTAGCAAATGCTTATTATGTATAGCTGCTTTGATTTTCAGCAAGTATTCAGAACTTTTTTTTTCTTTTCATTGTAACATTTATTGAAATAACCATTCATTTTTTCTTGATCACAGCTCAATGAAGAATTCTCTTAATTGGCGTGTCTATGCTGGGACTATTTCCCAGAATGCCCTTCAGATCCCCTACTTTCTGAAGAAGATTATAGTGAATGAGAACTACAACACTAACAACAATGATTATGATGTTGCCTTGCTGAAACTCAGCAGTCCTGTTACCTTCTCCAGTGAGTTGGGTTTACTTGATGAAATAGATCACCCTAAAATATTCACACTGCTTTTTTTCTACAGTGAAACCATTTAGAAACCATAAAAGTACCCCAAATATAGTGTTTATGGTATATGACTCATTTTCTATATTCCAAATAATCTACAGTAACATTTCTCTTCTCAATCCAGGCACTGTACAGCCAGTTTGCTTTCCTACATTTGACCAAACCTTTTCAGATGGATCAGATTGCTGGACATCTGGCTTTGGGACAACACAACAGGGAGCAGGTACAGACAGATTAAAATGAAAATGCATGAATATGGAAGAGGAAAATAAATAGGACAAAGAGTAACACCATGTATGAAAACAGGACAGTGATATAGAGAAAGTAAGCATGCAACATTTAGTGATTCACAAAAAGCCGACCAAAAATAAAATGAAATATAATTAAATAAATAAATACATATGAATGAATGAATGAATTAATTAATTAAATAAATAACATTAACAACATTAAGGTATCTCTTGCATGATATTTTTATATTCTAGCAATTAGTCTCAACACAAACAATATAATGTTTTAATATACGTAATAGCATAATAATAATACAATAATTATTTAAATTGTAAATTATGTATGCATACATCATAATAGTGTTGTGTTGGCTTTAATTAATGCTGATTTTGTTCTGAAAAAAAATACAGATATTTAACAAGAATAATAACAATCATTATTAAGAATAATGAAAATTACTAATACATTAAAAAGTAAAGCATCTGATCACATTCAGGACATTAAAAATGGGGGTGGTAAATCTTAGCAGACATACAAATAGTCACAATTTAAAAAAATCTTAATTTTCCTAAAAATATACTTTATTTGTTTATGCAAACATACAATTAATATAAATATATGAAAATATTCTTCAAATGTTATTATAAAATAATAATACATTCAACAATTAATACCCTTTATTTTTTATTTTAATTGTATTTCATAATTTTTTTTATTCATACTGTACTCACCCTAGTACGGTTTGAAAATGCTGATTTGATCTTAGAAGTTTGCCTACGCCACAGCCTTCAATGTATATTGTCTTTTTTTGAAGCTTTTAGCTGACCTTTGACTGTGAGCGTTTCCTTTGCTCTCACAGACAGTGCCTCTACAAGCCTCATGGAAGTGAAAGTGAATATCATCAACACACTTCTGTGTAACAGCAGTCAGGTGTACCGTGGGGCCATCACCAAGAATATGATATGTGCCGGTGATATGAATGGGGGACGGGATTCCTGTCAGGTGGGTCTACCTCAGCTACTAGAGTGACTTCAGGCAACTACATTATTCCCTGTCAAAGTCTCGCCCAGTGTTTCTTTGTCTCATGACATTGATTTATTCTGGTTTGGGCAAATGCTGTATGCTGTATGATTCACATTGCTGCAATTGCGTTTTATTCAACCAAGTTTGTACTATATGGAAACATGAAACAAACTGATTTAAGAAGTACTTTATATACATATTATAATGGGTCAATTATGTCTTTTGTCCTATTAATTATTAAGAAGAATATATATATATATAGTCATGTGCTACCAACCAAATCATGGGGTGCAACTAACGAGTATTGAAAACGAGTCCTTTTATAAGAACTATTTATTCATTTTATATTTTACTATTCACTCATTTAAATAATGTTATACATGTTTGTCAATGCTGTATGCTGTATGATTCACATTGCTGCAATTGCGTTTTATTCAACCAAGTTTGTACTATATGGAAACATGAAACAAACTGATTTAAGAAGTACTTTATATACATATTATAATGGGTCAATTATGTCTTTTGTCCTATTAATTATTAAGAAGAATATATATATATATATATAGTCATGTGCTACCAACCAAATCATGGGGTGCAACTAACGAGTATTGAAAACGAGTACTTTTATAAGAACTATTTATTCATTTTATATTTTACTATTCACTCATTTAAATAATGTTATACATGTTTGTTCACAATGATCTGAAGTCCATGTTCCATTTGCTTTCTCTCTGTCCTTGTCGTTGGTCTCAGGGGGACAGTGGAGGTCCACTGGTGTGCAAGGGAGGTAATAACCGCTGGTATCTGGCTGGAATTACGAGTTGGGGAGCAGGATGTGGACAAAGACAAAGACCAGGGGTATATAGCAGAGTGACCAGCCTTCTGCCATGGATCTACAGCAAGATGCAGGTAAGCTGGACAACATAGTCCAACATGAGTCCACATAGTTCACTGATTCATAATATTGTTATTTTACCATCTAGGTACTATATACTTATTGCTTTCTCTTAACCTGTTTAAATCTTGTCATCTTAGCAAGAGAAGCCCTGATGCCTCTCTTCTGTATGATGTGTCCATTGCTGAAGACTAAATGACGACAGTGGACACAGGACAAAAGATGAAGGACAGAGCAATGCACTTTGAGATGGGACAATGTTGCAATATTGTAGCCACAACTGGACAAAGAAAAACAGACTTTATTAATCTCACATTCTCCAGTCAGAAAATAATAAAACAACTCAACCTGGGAAAGCAGAGCTGCAGGCATTGAGGACCCTGTGGTCCCCTTCTGTCGCTGTGCTTTCCTCATTCTTTCCTTTGCATGTGTACTGTATGTTCATTACACGCTGCTGAATCTGAGCCTTTGTTGCCTCTTTAACTTGGTATCCTTGCACGGATTCTACAAAAAAAAATATTGGGAGTATTCTGCAAATATGTATTTAATAACCAAAAGGCTGTTCATTTTGTTTGAAAATCAGTGTCTGTGAGCTATAATAAAATGTGGTATTGTTTTAACCTATGTGAAGGGTCCGTCCTTTTCTATCTCTGATTCATACTGTTTCTTTATAAATCATGCCGGAAATGGATACAGTTTGAGCTTTATTCTCCAAATGCAACAAATGAATATAGTGGAGAATGGGGCTAGCTATGAAAAATGCTATATCTCAGTGTTTGAAAATCAGTGTCTGTGAGCTATAATAAAATGTGGTATTGTTTTAACCTATGTGAAGGGTCCGTCCTTTTCTATCTCTGATTCATACTGTTTCTTTATAAATCATGCCGGAAATGGATACAGTTTGAGCTTTATTCTCCAAATGCAAAAAATGAATATAGTGGAGAATGGGGCTAGCTATGAAAAATGCTATATCTCATTGGGCCGTGACTACTGGACAATGACACATTCTGTGAACACTTCAGTTGAAAGAGTGCGAGGTAAGCTATATAGATAAACACTTCATATTTGGCAACTATTTGACAATAAAAATGTTACACAAGCAAGAGTAATATTTCGTCAAATTTTGCATTTTGAATTAAAAAACATTATTTAAAGCTGCAGTCCGTAACTTTTTTTGTGTTCAAAATTGACAAAATGTATATAATAAGCGAGTACACCATGAATCCATTTTTCCAAACCGTGATTTTGGCTTGTCCTGAATCACTACAGTACACCTATAATCCCAGACGTTTCTCCTAAAATAACATTGGATAAAAAGAGAGAACACTGCAGAGAGCTAGGAGAATTTAATGAGAATTGTCAGACTTTTGATTGTCTCTGGTATCTATCCAAACGTGAGCACGCTACAATGTTCTTCCGCAAGACGCACGCAGTTCTGTTTATTAACCACTAGAGCGCCAAAAGTTACGAACTGCAGCTTTAAGTGATTAATGTAACGCAATTGAATGTGATGAGGAAAAAAAATAACCGAGCCATTTTTAGCATATAAGAATAAAAGTGAATATGTGCACACTGTGAATGGATTTAATGAACTCATGAAACACTTAATCCTTTTTTTTCCTTTTGTAGCCAAGGCTTTAAGTCATGCGTCTATACAACTGACTTTCAAAAGTACATCCACATTGATAAATATTCACTGGAGTAAAAAGTGTTACACCTAGTTCCAGTTTCTTCTGTGAATCATTTTGCGGGCCACCCCCAGTCCAGAGGAAAACATTGTTGCGGAATCAACTTTGTCCCAGACGTTTCTCCTAAAATAACATTGGATAAAAAGAGAGAACACTGCAGAGAGCTAGGAGAATTTAATGAGAATTGTCAGACTTTTGATTGTCTCTGGTATCTATCCAAACGTGAGCACTCTGAGACATTATAGAGATCTCCTCTGAAAGAGGAATTGCTGCAGTCATTTTCTCAGGAGAATCATCTGAGAAGCTGAAGAGTTCAGTAAAAGTTCGGATTTGCTTTGCATCATTGCATAAGTAAACACAAGGTTTTAACAGTATATATTTTCTTGTGGGGTCATTACGAAAAGCTCTGCGTGGACTTTTGGATACGCTTTGAAGACTCGTGTTTCCCGAGTTCGCACTAACATATGATAGGATTGATCAAGTTGGTAAGCATATTTGGCGTGCTGTCCAGAGGGAGGGCTCCGAGCTCGGGAGAGAGCCAGAACACCGAGCCGAGAACTCCCTCTATCCCTAAAAATGGGATTAGAAATAGAATAAGAGTGAGGAGCTGGGGTGGAGGAGGGGTTCTGGAAAACTGTCGTGGGACAGAGGTAAGTTGGCTGTATATATATAGCCTATACACCTGTTGTGCTAGGCTCCAACCGTGCCGAATTGATTGATTATCTGATAGTGCTCCTTCCGAACCTTGTTAATGAAACATCATTATGTGACCGTGCACGCTTTTAAAGACCAACCAACACTCGCGACCAACGCGTGAGGTGTCTCTCATTGCGCGCGTGGCGGGGCGGGAACAGCGAGAGCGCGAGAGAAGAGACAGGGACAAGCCAATATAATATATATATATATATATCAGAAAGAGGAGGTGAATCTTATTGGCTGCTATACAACATCAATCGCTCGTTTACGCGGACTTTTATCCATTAATATATTTTCTCTGCATTTCAAAAAGCCAAAAAATCCACTTATCAGACAACGACTTGAGGACCCTACAGTCGTGCGGATCGTGTCAGCGTTTGACCCACTGTTGCCCATCCACTTACAAGTACCCGAGACGAGGTAGGGTATGAAGTCACTTATCCAGGGCGTATGCTGTTGCTTTATAGTCTTAGTGATGTTGCACGGTGTTTCCTCGTTACAAAGAAGGTATTTTGGAAAGACGTGCGTCAAGCCTCGCTTTTATTCCAATGACATCATCAGTCGAAGTATTGCAAACATTTCATAAATGGGGAGTGTGCATTTCAACAGCAATGTTATTGTCAGATGCATTATACCGTTTACACATATCAGAAGTGAATTCTGATTGTATTAAACAGATGTATGAATATACAATGCTGTAGAATGACAGCGCGCTGTTATTGTTGCGCGAGGGTGTGTCCGAATTGCTTCGTGCCTTTTTGCCTCATTGAAGCGTTAAATGACTATTTGCAGGACCTCAATACATCATCTATGTTCATTTATGTTATAGTTTGGCATATTACTATGAGTGATGTATCATAAGACAAATGTGAAAATCTGAAATGAGAGGGGAAATGGTGATTGCGCGCGAGCGGATTAGAGTTTCATTACTAAGGAAAATGTATCGGCGCGTGAAAAAAATGAGCTTTTAGTATGCGTGCAGAAGGAAATCCACAGGTGGTGAGGGGTTCGATGATGGCTACGACTGAGCTCCGCGCCCACAACAGGTAGCGGGTTATATTCGGTACTAATCGACACGTTATAAACGGAGGGAGTAGAGTTAAAGTGCTCATTACGCGGCGCTCTCTGGAGTACCTGATTATGATTGGTCAATGGTTACATATTTCATAATATTGATTGTTATTACATATCTATTCTTAAGTAAGATGTGTATTAAGTGGGGTACACAAACAAACCCCTTCAGGGTGATTAAGACAAGGTGATCATTATTATTTTGGGAAATGTTTATCTAACGGGACTTATCCCTTACAATTTAATACATTTAACAATTAGCTTATGTCCCGCGTTTCGACGACGTGCTGTTATGTACTGAATGCCATCGCGTTTCAGTTTCCAAATGTTTGATTTTCCAGGATGTTTGGGCAAGGAATTGCCCTGGCCTTTATCAAAAAATGATAGCCATGATTTTCTGTTTCTAGGTTACCATCACTATCTCTTTCAAAACTACAGCCAGCTTTCTGCACTAATAATCGTAATCACCTGACGAATGCGGTTGTCATAGCAATATTTCTGCACCGTGGTAGAGGCACGTCTGGCAGCGCGCCAATGAAAGCTTTGTTGTCGTGGATACAGTTTACCCTCGTTTTGGTTGTGATGAAGGGCTTGAGGGTCTCACCTTAAATAGTCAACGATGACCTATTGTTCATAGCAAAATATTATTCAATAAACTGAAATCCTAGATCTGTCACAATAAATATTCTAAATATAAATATCTTGCTCATCTGAAATATGGTAAGGAGTAATTATGGGACACTGACACCGCATATGACAGATGGTGTAATAATCAGAAATCATATGAGCTTACCAAAAAGAAAAGAGTATACAGTGCATCAATATTGCTTTGCCGTCTATTGTATACTAGCATTTTCTGTCATCAACACCCCTGCAGGCATTTCAGCAGTTTACTTACACAGTATCACATTATTTCTAAATGAAAGAGATGCAATTTATTTAATTGCAATGGGCTCAGATATCATTTTGCACATGAAACAGAAGGAGGGCAGGGAAACCATTTTAAACTGCTGGCAAATAATTTTAATGGGAAAACTGCTGCCGTGAAAAACTGGCTATAAATAAAAGCATATTAACAGCGATACATTTCCTTACAGTGAAAATGACAAGAATTAAATCACAAGAAATTTGATTTTTTTTTTTTGTTAAATATTGTTGAAATTATGTTTTGTATTTGTAAAAAAGTTATGAGTCACTTGATAATGCATTAAAAAAAAAAAAAACATTAAAAAGATGTTCCTACAAGTCACTGTGTAATGCATTTGTAACGCCCCTGTGGACTGTTTATTGTGGATTCTTCCCCTTTTGTTGGTTTAGCCCGTACTATAATTAGTTAATCACCTCAAAAGCCAAGGGCCCCCAAAAGCCAAGGGCCCCCTAAAATGCTTTTCATATAGGATATGCGCATTAAACGCTGACACGCAAACGTTTGCTGTTTACGTGTTTAGACAGCCGTCCAAGTCTGTGGCGCCTGCAGGTGTACGGCTGCACTGTGAGTACCATGAGCCCTCAGATTTACCCCGCAAACATTTCAGCAGTTATTACAGGCCTGTGTGTCCCTTATTTCTGTCGACTGAACCAGCCATGCCATTAATTATGAATTTATCAGTCTTTTGCATGCCAAAGTCAATTGCCGCATAGAAATATAACACCAAATAGAAGCAGAAAATCGTGCTATACTACGCACTTTCATGAGATCGGGTTAGACAACAATACATTTTTGGGCTATTTTACAAATGGGAATACAACAAATTAATGACAATGTTTACATTCAAGCTACCCGTAAAATTTATAGTGAAAACTATAAAAGCGTCTGGAATGCAATAAAGTAATTTTAAAGCATGGGTAAAAAAATAGGCTAATAAATAATTCACATATCATACACATTTGCATTGCAGCAAATCCTTTAAATTTTCAGGTATTCAGAACAGAGCAACATAAAAATCAGAAAAAGCAGCTATACAATTATAGGACAACGTTTTACACATATGCCATTATAATTTGTGTTTTATTTTTTAACTGTACGGAATTATAAAATAAATCGGGCCTGTTTTAGGCTTTTCCTCATTTTTATATTTTAGATATCCATCAATTACGGTGATGAAAAAAATGACTCGCCTTCTCCTCATTGGATGTGCCTTTAGAGAGAAATGCACGGATTACATAATGAAAGAGTTTCTATTTTCGATTTGAATTATTTCGTTTTAAAGTAGTAATTTTTAAGCTTTCTATACATTTTTTATCATGTCTGTGAGGCAATTCGCAGAGTTTAGGTTCATCATTGTGAAGCGCTCCTGTTCAAGCCTGAGAAGGCAGCGTTTGTTTTCTTTATTTTATAAAAGCACCCAAATAAAACTAGCCCCTTTACAGTTTAGAATGATGTATTACTCTTACATTTATGAGCAAAAATTACTGCGTATAAAGTTGTTTCCACTGTTAGAAAAAAATGCAAGTGATCGCACTGGCGCCTCCATGTCCTGCAGAGCGCGCTTTAATTCCAACTCTCCCCATAAATGACTGGAAATGCGTCTAACAGCGCACATTTATCTAGTTTAAACACTTAAACTAACATTGTGATAGGCTTGAACTGTTTTATATCTATAGATTTTATTTTAGGCAAGTCGTGATGATTTGAGAAGGCTAAATTGATCAAACATATATCAATTCACTGTCTGCCGCTGGCCGTTATACTATATAAAAAACGTAGGCTACATATTATCGAACAAAAAAATGCTCCAAACGTTTTTCTAAATTTACTTTATAAAAAAACTAAACAAACTATAATCACTTTTCCATTACATACAAAACTGAACTAATTTACATTAAAAGTAATTATTGGAATCCTTGTCGTCCTCGTCGTCCTGCCTGCCTCCACACACCGTGAGCGTGACAGCATCACATTTGATTATATTTTATTTAATAAAAATCTGTTTCTTATTCTTTTTCAGTTATGTGCATGATGGTGTTTTCATGTTACTTTTTTAGTTCATGTTTATTTTATTACACTGTGAAATAATATTTATGAAAGTTTTGTTTCACTTTTATTTTTAATGTTTCTTTATGAAGTTTGACACGCAGAATATGAAAATCATATTACTTTGTAATAAATAAATAATTAAATAAATATGTTGATTACTTATACAAGCAAATCTGTTATTACAGATCAACATTACATGGTATATGCTTAATTCTGAGCTAACAACAGTTTAAGATCAACATTTACCAAAAGTGAGTAGTCCAAAATTTCAGAAGTGTACGTTGGATGATTTTTGTCTTTTATGACTAGTCCCACAATTTTAATTATTAATTTTAAATATGCAAAATTCCTGAAGGGTATGTGTGTTCATTCAAAGGTTTGCCTATGAATTAACTAGAAAGAGTCCATTTATACTGTGCACTGTGTCTCTTCCTTAAGAAAAAGGCAGTGATTTTCCCTACTTACATTCCATTAGGTCGTAAATGTATCTGGTGTCAGGGTTGCCATGGTAACCAGGGGGTGCCTGGTGTCGTTGCAGACATCCTGGCATCCAGTTTATTGGGTGAGGGGACTGTGACAATTTGTTAATCTAATGAATAACTGATTTGTTAAATCAAATGAAAAATTGTGTTTGATTGGTCCAGACGCTACACAAGATCAAGCAGTATTTGATGATGAAATCAGTCCAGCAAAAAATAGCACAACATATGCACTTTGTTTGTGACTGGTTGACGTCTTACATAAGATACTTTTCTGTTCAAAATGTGATGCATATGGCGGGACACTCAAAAACAGTGTGATGCAAACACCCAAGTAAAAAAAAAAACATTTACATTATCTAGGACGACTCTACCAATCCCTTTGTGAAGGCAGTTGTTTCTTTTTATTTGCTACTCATCAGTATAGAAATCCATAATTCATATGACGGTCATTGGGAGGGATCTTGTTTGCAAGTCATCCAGATATAGCGACAGTCTTCCTTTTGTCTTCAGGGAACACAGGAAATATCTGTGGCCGAAAGCATAGTCTCAATTGACATTTAGGGTCAATTTCATGGTCAGCGACCAACTGGGAAGGCTTTTACTCAGAAGAAAAAATTTATTGGTGCATCTAACTATAGCACTCTGTCGATATGTCTGCTGAGGTCAGAGGCAGTGTTTGACAATTAAAGCCAGACGAGTCTCGTCTCCTGGCGTCCGTGAATTAACTGGCTTCTGCTGACTGAAAGGTACAGAGCAATGGTTCCTAAAAGAATAGTATGCATCCCCAAGAGCATGGGAAATAAACCGCATAAATATGACATATACAATGAGACAGTACACTGTTGACCGACATTAAAGGTGCATTCATGTGATGAATGATAGTGATGGCC